ATATAGTTTGAAACCCTCCAAAGTCACTCAGATGTACTCAAAAATGAATGAGCATTCCAAATTTAACCAAAAAATCGCTCCAAGCTAAGATTTCCCGCCCAAAAGACCATTTTCAAGCCAAAAAACGAGAAAAATGCCTCGAATCCTTCAAGTCATGGGTTTGACATATCAACTCAAATTTGACATATAAACTTGTAAAGTTTACTTTTTTGACCAGAAGAGCCTAAAACACTGCTGTTTACTTCGTTACTTGGTTTTCGTGATATATATTTCAAATTTGCCCCCTTTGGAGACCCTTCGGCAAGGTCGAAGTGCACCGCTAAGCTTCTCAAAAAATCAGCAGGGCGTGGTCGGGGATGCCGGGCGATTAACGGAACATAATTTACACGAAAAAATGCGAACGTTTTGGGCGGTTTTTAGAGTAGATGGAGTAGTGTAACCGTGAGTTTAAGATACACCTGTATATGTTGTTTCATTCCCGGTATTCTCAGTTACAAAACCCCTTAAAGGCAGAAACTGACTTTAACCAAGGCAGTCGCCAAAAGTCGGTCAGGATAGGCCATCATGATCTGTGCGTTAACATGTCTTTTTATTTTAGAATTCGCCGGAAAATGGGGGTATTTGTGGTGCTTACATCTCAAAAAGTGGATTGAATTATGGCAACGATTCAATTTTTTTTCATTTTATGGAGTGAATAGATGTGATTTTCTGATTGGGGCACGATTTTGTTACAAAATGGAAAGCCCATGACTTGAAGGATTCGAGGCATTTTTCTCGTTTTTTGGCTTGAAAATGGTCTTTTGAGCGGGAAATCTTAGCTTGGAGCGATTTTTTGGTTAAATTTGGAATGCTCATTCATTTTTGAGTACATCTGAGTGACTTTGGAGGGTTTCAAACTATATCCTCGGGTGGTAGCTGCACCGTTAACCATATATGTTATCTATAGCATAAATAGAGAAAAACAAGTTTTTTCGACGAAAATGAATTCATTTCGATTTTCGACCTGATATTCGTAATTAGCATGCAATTCTGATTCGAATGAGGTATATTTTGTCAAAATCGGAGAAAAAAAGTTTCCTTGTCCCTGAGGGGATAGAGGGCGAAATTTTCGAAAAAATCGAAAGTGACTTGGCCATGCTAAGAGATACCTCATTTTGTTCAGAATTCGACGCTGATTCCGAATATGTGATTTTTTTCAAAATATAAAGCAGCAAACTGACCTCCATTTCTTCGTAGAATGGACGACTATAATTCTTGGTTCGTCACAAATAATCCGACTTTTAGCGGCTCTTTGTTCCTCTCTGAAATCCAGACATCCTGAATGGACTGCTCATTATCATATGTATATTTACCACGTTTATTTAAACGATTATAACATGAATCGATAAAAAAACATGGTATGTGCTTAGTTATATGAAACATCTTTGATATTTTTTCATTATAGTCATTTTCAATATTCGATTCATCTGTATCGTCATTTTGATCTAAACTCCAATGTGTAAAAGCAATAATTAGATGATTAAATATTTGTTTCGAAAAGATATTGATGAATAATTTTATTGTTTCTTGTAAATATACTGATACACGTACATTGCTACCATTAATAATAAGAATAATCATATTTATGTATGGTAATTGTTTTAATTCTAATGCCATTTGTTTTATATTTTCATTATCTAAATTTTGGCTATCTGATATACCCTGCGTATCACATAACAATAATTTCTCATTTTTCCATTGACATTCTTTGACCGATGTTTTTTCTGTTATTGGATCTGCACTAATACCTTCTTGAAATGCATTTTCATTATTCATTAGCAGGTTTAGAAACGTTGATTTTCCATCACCTGTATTACCAATAACAACCAATACACGAACATCATCATCAACATTGTCATTGGTCATCATAAGCTAAGAAAAAAAGTGATGTATCACTCGATGCCACAACGCATACAACCATTTTTCATCGACTTTTGGTACATTCAGAGAATAGACCTTTAGCTAGATGCATTACTCGATGCATTGAGCTCTGCATGTGTTTCTACATTGAACAATGCACGAGCTCCTGGATCTAGATTAAAGAATAAAAAGAAGTGACCCACCTAGCTGCATCTGTAGTACTGTCAAAAATTATAAAATCCGAGATTTGCAATTCAGTAAAATATCAGAGATTTACATTTCAGGGAGGAAGGATACTTTTTCAGCATCCACTTTGGCACTTGAGTGCACTATGTTTTGCCAGTTTACTCTTCGAAACATGAGGGATTTAAACATATAAGGATTTAAAATCCGTAAGGTTTTTGAAAGGTTTTTTCGTGTTTTTCGGCACTTCATCTCAAAAGTAAGGACATATTTGGAATCAGCGCGCGAAACTGTATCGATCTGTATATCTTTTAATGAGTTTTTCGGTAAAAGCAGTATTTTCAGAAAAAATAGCATCCATCGGCAGTCTTGTCCGAAATGATGCTAAACTACTGAAGTATGAGCCTAAGAGTCCGAGAAGACATTAAACTACGGTAATGGTGTTTAGGTAAGGTCTGTTACGGTTAAGCATAAGGCCTTGGTTCTTCTGATTTCTGTGGGTGGTGGTTAGCTGTTGAGGGTACAGTTGGTTCTGGTCGCCCAGAGGAGTTCGATTGCCGAACGCACCCCCACTGGCTCTTTTGCAGTTTTGAGCAGCAGCGACCAGTTCCTCCGAGGCCACAACTTCAAACTACCACCATTTTGACTACTTTGAAGCTCCCGTTATTCCCGAAGCGGCTAGCTGAGCAGGGAAGGCACCCAAGGAGGCTTTAAAGCTCCGGAGAGAGTCCCATTACGTTACGGTATAGAAGCTGAGAGTGCTAGGAGGCCTAGGTGAAAACGGTTTAAAGCCAGCCAGGCATAGCGAACGCGGTCTTTATCTTCCCCTCTAGTGTTTTTGCCTAGGTTTCTGCAGGTCATCGTAATACGAGCAGTGACTTGTGCCACTGCCTTGTCCTCTGGCGCAGTTGATCTGTCGAAAGTCTGTGACGTAGGAACTGTCCGCCTTACCATCAGGGCCGCCACTCCTCACTCAGACTTAGACGGGTTTTGGTTGGAGTTACCGAAGAAGTTATTTGAAGTGACAATGATTTTGACTTATAGGCACATTAAATACACTGTAAATCCCTTAAAACTCACATATTTCCCTCTAGGCAAGCCAAGCGCCGCAAATATTTTAACCTTGTTAGTTTGGCGATGAGATCTTTCATTTAACCCGAATATCTTCCACCTTTTTACTGATCAACACAAACACCTCCATTGTTAGAAACACTGGCATTTTTGCAAATCTGCGGTACAAAAGTTGACCTATCGATCAAGCAACCTGAAACATTTATAAAACAGCAATAGCATTGATAGTATCGAATACATTCAAAGTATAGAACTACTGTATCTTGACACTGTAGTTTTACCAATTTGAAATCTCTTAGCAAGATTCATGAATGGAAACTTCTGTCGTAACTTCATAAAAACTAGCAAGGATTGTTGACTTTATTGGCTGAAATTGCACGAGATCGACTGCTCGACTATGTGTTCCTTCCAAGTGCCGTTTCTGAATGTGAACGTGATGCTCGACCAGAATCATCTGTGTGCAGAAAAACAGTCAGATTATTTTACAGAAGTCTTTGGCAAAACTACACGTACCTGATTTGTTTGAATTAATGGTAGAGCACCTTTAGCCAATAATGTGTTTCCTTTTATGCAACTGATATCATTAGTAGACAAGTGTTGACTACATACACGCTCTGATTTTGCCACACTAAGATCATTAATATTGAGAGACAAAATATTGCACCATTTTTAAATAATACAGGATCAGCTGGTAGACGAAAGAACGCAACTCTTCGTCAACCTTTTCTAACGTCACCGAGCTTTTTTTACAATGGACTGAAATATGTCCATATAAATGTTAGAAGCATTTTGAATGTTGAACTATGATATTTAAGTTGATTTCTAATTCTCAAAACCTTAAAAAGTTCAATAATGAAGTTTAAAATTGAAAAAAATTAAAACACAAGTGAAATTAGAAAAGGCGTTTTCTATAAATCCTCTAGAAAATCATGATGATGGTATTTGAAATTCGCCAAACCTCTACATTTGTTCAGCCTTCAATTCTCTATCGATTGGCGTTTGAACCAACTTTCTATGACATACCTGAGTTGAGCTATTATTAAACTTATTTCATGATTTATAAAATCTCAATGGCTCAATATTTTGAGACAAAACTTTTATGATAAATAGAGCTCACTGTGATATATGTCCACAGAAAATTTCAGATCAATGGATTGAGCCATTCTTGAGATAAGACCACATTAGGACCCCCTTGAGTGGAATGGTCAATCTCAGGACTTTTCGTAAAATGTCTATAAAAAATCGAGTGTTCAATATTTTTCAAAACACCTTGCGTAGAAATTCATAGAACTCTTCTCTCTATAACATATCTTAAATTGAGCTAAATCTGACGACCCCGATTGAGCAGGTCCGGTCGTGGCTTATATGGACTGGCTCATATGATAAATTTTTAGAAATATGTCGTTGGATAAAAAGTTTCCATTTGGCAGAAGTATTGTCAATATTATCAGTAAGACAGCTTCACCATAGAACAAAACGTCGTCCAAAAAATTCATAAAACAAACCCGACGGTCAGATATGAAAGGAATTGACAATGAAGAGAATGAACTACAACATCCGCTGCCTAATGAAATAATTTGTAGGTGAAACAAGCAATGTATTCGAACACAAAAAGAGAGAAGTGTTTTTCACGACGACAAACATCTGTAAAGAATCAATCATGAATCGAAAAGTAGTACAAATTTCATCGTATTCCTTATTTTGGTAAAACATCTGGTTTAGTAATCAATTTATTTGTAAATGGAATACAAGTTTCATAGTTCAATACTCTCAAACAGGATTTTCAGATAGACTCTTGTTCTAGATTAATGAAATGATTAAAATGATGCATTAATGAATGTCCCTCGACGATTATGTACTTCATGACTAAAACACAGAATAAACATTGTGAACAGATTTGAGATAGAAGGAAAAAGACAGATTACTTACATGGTGTTCAATGATGACATGGATTTCACCATGATTACGGAGATGCATCAGACCTCTTAATTCGACCCATCCGTCATAGCGACCTTGTCCGAAAACATGTTTTATCAAATCAACCTTTGCCGAACCGATAGAATCTTTACCAATTAAATGACTGTCGTACGAATGCAAGTGTAACTCATTCTCATCCCCTTGCAAATTACTTAAATAAAAAGAACAGTCATCCCATTCCGCAATATTCCGGAAAAATCATGAAATTCTTGTATAGAAACTCAGATTTCTTCAGGAAAAACATGAAGTTCTTGTGGTGGAACTCGTATTTCTTCCCAAAAAAACATGTGGATCTTGTGGACAAACTCCGATTTCTTCAGGAAAAAACATGAAGTGCTTGTGGAGACACACGGATTTGTTCCAGAAAAATCATGAAATTGTTGTCAAGAAACTGGGATTTTTTCAGGAAAAAAAAGGAAGTTGTTGTCGAGATGCCCAGATTTGTTCGGGTGAGGGTCAAAAAACATGAAGTTCCCTCGAAGATTTCGATTAGTTTGTTAGCATAAAAATTTATTAGTAATTTTAAATGTTAGTTGCCTCAACAAGCAGACATGTGATACAAAGATAAGAAAAGTGTCTCACAGAAGAACAGAAAAACAGGTTTATGTTATGTCACGCACATAACATAAAGAATAACTTTGAAAAGCTTTTTCCTTAGGTGAAAATGAGACTCTAAAAAGTGCCATACTCTTCAGTGTGACTGCTCCATCTCAGGTATAAGTGACTGAACAAAATTCTGATTAAGCCATTCAAAAGAGCATCCAAAACTGAATAAGATAAATATAGTGTGGAATTTAAGTGACAGAATTTGACCGATCTTTTAATATTTTGGAACCTGAGATTATTTTCGAAATCTCTTTTCTGCACGGGAGGATAAACATTTGGATATCTTTTTTGAACTCTAAAAAGCAACCAAAAATGTTTCTTAATGAGGCACGATTGTAGCCCGCAGATTTCTGATTAAAAAGTACCTTAGGACTTAATCAAAACGTACGTTTCCACTACGAGTTCTAAGGCTTCAAGAAAAACGCCCATAACTTCTGAACCATTGATTTTCGAGATGTCGCTTAGATCTGGCATTGTGGAGGTCACCTAGAAATATCCACAGATGAAAAGAAGTTGATGGACGTGTATGTAAGATTTTGGAACTATAAGCTGGTTTTCCAGAGGTCCTGTGAAAAGTTGGATCCACACATGTGCCCAATCTTCATTTATTCGTAGTAGTTATTTTAGTTCGCTGTTAAACATCGATACACATCACCTTCGACACCATTATTCTGCATAGATTTTGATTGCTTAATTCTGCTTGGTCAGTTAATAATATCACGCTGCTCCATATCCAACACAACATCATTCACTCACACTTCTTTCCGCCTTACCACACATTAACTGCAGTAAACTAGATCATGTGTCACCAAATTTTATCATTACACAAACAAATTCTTATAACAACAAAGGAAAATCTTTATTCAAATCACTTTTCTCCTGCGCTGATACAAAAAACTGCAATGTCTCTCAGAAAGAAAGTTCGACTACTGGCAAACGTTGCCATTCCATAACCACCGACATCAACGTAGGCTCTAGGAAAACCAAACACGCTCTCATTCTTATTCTCACCACAGCTCTTCACACAAATATCAAAACGTTGCACTCTGTTTATCACCAAAATCAAACTGTGACACTACATTAACCTTCAAAGAAGATAGACCGTCGCGAAACGTGACTGTAGTTTAGCAAGGCACCGATTGAAGTGGTCACGTTACTCATGAACGAGATCGACGAAGCAACGTTCGTGTATCATAAAACAGGAAGAGTGACGCTACATTAGCGTTCGAAGAACCAAGAGCATAAAGAGAGATGATTCTACTGACGGCACCGAAGGACTAAAGTGCTGACGCTGTTCATGAATGAGATAGTTCAATCCTAAGTTCGTGTATGATGAAAGAGGAAGCATGACACTACATTAGCGTTCCAATAAGAAAGAACATAAAGAGGGGCGATTGTAGTGAGAGGAGCGAGTGGCTCAACTGGTGACGTTGTTCCTGAATAGGATCGAGCAAGTAAAAGTTCGTGTATGACGCAAGAGGAAGAATGGCGCTACATTGGCGCTCGAAGAAGAAAGAGCATCAAGAGAGGTGATTACAGTTTAGGAGGGAAGCGATTCAAGTAGCGACGCTATTCATGGATGAGAACCAAGAAGTAGAACTTCGTGTATGATGGAAACGGAAGGGAGACACTACACTGGCGTTCGAAGAAGAAAGAGAATAAAGAGAGCTGATTGTAGTAAAGGGAGCGAGAGATCAAAGTAGTGACACTATCCATGAATGAGATCGACCAAGTAAGAGTTCCTTTATGATGGAACCGAAAGAGTGACACTACATTGACGTTCGTAGAAGGAACACCATTAAGAGAGGTGACTGTATTGGAGGAAGGGAGTGATTCAAGTGGTGACATTGTTCATGAATCACATCGATCAACTAAAAGCTCGTGTATGATGAAAGAGGAAGAATCACACTACATTGGCGTTCGAAGAAAAAAGAGCATAAAGAAAGGTGACTTCACAGTAAGAAGAGAGTGATTGAAGTGATAACGTTGTTCATGAATGAGAGCGAAGAAGTAGAGGTTCGTGTATGATGGAAGAGGAGGAATGACGCTACATTCGCGTTCGAAGAAGAACGAGAATAAAAGAGAGGTGACTTTACAGTAGAAAGGGAGTGATTAAAGTGGTGACGTTGTCGTTGTTCATTAATGAGATCGATTAACTGAAAGTTCGTGTATGATGGGGGAGGAAAATGACGCTACACTGGCGTTCGAAGAAGAACGAGCACAAAGAGAGGTGCTAGTAGTTTAGGAAGGGAGTGATTGAAGTGGTGACCTTGTTCATTAATCAGATCGACCAAGAAGTAGAAGTTCGTGTATGATGGAAGAGGACGAATGACGCTACATTGGCGGTCGAAGAAGTAGGAGCACAAAGAGAGGTGCTTGTAGTGAAGGGAGCGAATGATTGAAGTGGTGACGTCGGTCATGAATGAGATCGATTAACTGAAAGTTCGTGTATGATGGAAGAGGAGGAATGACGCTACATTGGCGTTCGAAGAAGAACGAGCATGAAGAGAGGTGCTTGTAGTTTAGGAAAGGAGTGACTGAAGTGGTGACGTTGTTCATATCAATAGGTCTTTGACTTCGACCTCGATCACGCATTATTCATATACTCTTTTTTAATACTGAATCTGAAAAAATACTTTCGAAAACTTAGAAGAACGAAAAGGAAAAGTATTCGAATTTTTTT